GGCTCAGACAAAAGCAAACTGCTACAGCCTCTCCTAACTTGCGTGTTCCTCAGAAGTAACAGTTCTGTTATGCTTTTCAAGAGCACCATGTGTCCATTCTGGGAAAACTTTAGGGTGTTTCATAGGGTTTTCTTAGGCAAGGAATACTCAGAAGTGGTTTGACAGTTCCTTCCTCTGAAATATAGGAGATTATTGCACTTACTTTTTAGCCCCATCTAGACACGGGCTGGGATCAGACTTGAACCCGAGGGAGAATGGGTGTTATCGCACACAAAAATGTTGCAGATGCCATCGGTGAACACCACCTGTCCCCAAGCCACGCTTAGCCTTGAAAATCTGCTGGTTAAGCATGGCTTAGGGATGGGTGGTGGTCCAGTGGTGGCATTGGTGGCATTTTTGTGTGCTATAACACCCATTTCCCCTCATTCAAGCCCGATCCCAGCCCATGCCTGAATCAGACTAAAAAGTAAGTGCAATAATCTCCCTAGTCTACTAGACCTGGAATTCATTGCCAGTCTCCCATCTAGGTACTAACTAGGGCTGACCCTGTTTAGCTTCCAAGATCAGATGGGATCTGGTGGTTTTAGGACATTTAGGCAGGCTGAGAACCACCAAATGATAGTGCCATGAGAAAAGGGATATAGCTACTTGAGATGCAGACTGCATCAGTTTGCTTTTGCCTGAGCCTCCTGGTAAGGGCAAAACTCCATCCCCTCATCTCCGGTCTCTCTGCTGAGTGAACTGAGTGCAAACTACTTTTACATTTTGCAATAACTGAAGTTAAGCAGAGGACAAAGTGGGGAAATGGAAGAAGAGGGAAATTTTAAATGCAACTGAAAATGTGGGATGACAGAGGAGTAGTCAGGACTGGCAAATCAGGACTGTTGGAGGCTGTGTGAATTACTGAATCATGGTCACACACCCCACACCTTTTCACATGATCCCCCCAATAGTGAGAATCTGCAATGCAGGGAACAGAGAGCCATAGAACAAGCTCTCCGGGTTGATTTATTGCTAGTCTCCCCTCTGGAGAAAGAAAACAGGGAGGAAATCCCTTCTGTTCCAGAGTTGTGAAATGAAACAAAACACAACATCTTGTTTGTTTCCTGGTTTAATTGTTGTGGGGTGGCCAAAGGGGGCAGGATGGGGAGAGAATGGGACAAGAGAGATTTCCCTCTGTTAACTCTTTCAGGCCTTGTCTCCCTTTCCTGTAATAGGAGGACTTCAGTGTGGAGGAGAAATGCCTTGGCGCCCACTCCTTCTCCTCCCCTTCTTGATTTATGTGCAATATGAAAACCTTGAAGGTGGGTCATCAATAAAGTCCATTGGCATGGGAAATCTGGGAACCAGGATGTCGGTCCCTATACCCTTCCCTCCACCACCACCTCCATCATCCCATCATACCATCTGAGTCTTATGGGAAGGAAGAGTTGAAAGGAATAATTCAGGTCCTCCCCCTGCAAAAGAGAGAGTGAAAACACAGAAAAACTACTTGCTTCTTCCCAAAGCCCTCCAGATGTGTTTGCCAATTCCCATCATTCCCAGCTAACAGGACCAAGGTCCATGCTGAGTGGGAATGATGGGAGCTGTGATCAAATACATCCAGAGCATGCCGGGTTGAGGAAGAGTTTGCAAACCATTCCCAGTAAAGTCCAAGTGGGAACTCATTTTGGCTTCTGCTGAAGTATTCCCCAGCAGAGGAGTGGTACCCTCTGCCCAAAAGTAGCATTTACAATCTCTGGTAGTTAGAAATTGCTAGTTACTTGCAATTAATTCCTTTTTGCAACAACTAAGGGATAACTAGTAGGACCAGTATGGTGTAGTGGTTTGAGTGTTGGACTATGACTCTGGAGAACAGGGTTTGATTGAGTGCAAACTACTTTTGCATTTTGAACTCCATTGGAAGTCACTGAATTTAAATGGAGGACAAAGTGGGGAAGCAGACAAAGAGGGAAATTTTAAATGCAACTGAAAATATGGGTTGGAAACTCACTGGGTGACCCTGGGCAAGACACAGTCTCTCAGCCTCAGAGGCTGCCAATGGCAAACACTCTCTGCAAAAACTTGCCAAGAAAATCCTGGGATAGGTTTCCCTTAGGGTTGCCATAAGTCAGACATGACTTGAAGGCATGCAACAACAACAACAACAAACAAACAAGATCAGGATTGCATCTTGTGCATGGATGCACACTGCCCATTTGGTTGTGCACTCAGTTCCACATTTGGTGTTGATCCACTTGCACAACACTGCTGTTCAACACAAGGGTTGCACAGGACAATTAAAGTGTCCCTTTGCTTGCAGAGATTTACACTTCACAACCCAGATATGGGAGTTTGGCCAGTGGTTGTGATCAAATGGACAAACCCAAACTCTCTTCCCTGTGAGTATGGAAAAACAACTTTTGGTACTACGATTCCTAGACTCCCACACTTAGAATACCTAGTGATCAGGCTGGTTGAAGAATTCTGGGAGTTGTAACTTTCCCAAAGTCTGTGTTTCCTTGAGGTGTGGGGATGAGGGTGGCCTTCTGGTGTTTGTACCGAGGGGCAGCATACCCTC